GAAGATGAGAAAAAAAAATGAACGAGACAGTCGCGCTCCCACATAGATGTGATCCATAGATATATGAAACGCCATCCATATCTCTGTTAGGACCGCTTGTATGTCTGATACCAGTGGGACAGGACGCTTTCATGCCCTTCATTGGGCAATGGCCTCGTCGGCCACTGGAGCCTAGAAGGTAGTACATGATTGTTGACAACCTCTCCCCCTCCCTTCCCCATTCACTGGTAGTGTTTTTGGGGAAAACCGGAAATTGGAAAACCCTGAAATGTACGATAACGTGGATAGTACGGAGAAGGAGGGGTGGGGAAGGGAAATACCAGATAAAGAAATTCAGAGGGGGAGAGTGATGTGATTGCCACCGCCATGGCCCACATCACGTTGATGTACCCCTAGTTCCAGAGGGTCTTCTAAGTGTATTCCGGTAAATTAACATTCTCTTGGAAACAAGGGTGAGCAATAAATTACCAAAAAGATTAAATCTGATTCAGATGAAAGTAGTGCTGTTACTAGGAATTGTGAATTTAAGAAATGCTAAATGAAATGCGCACGCATGTGCACTTGGTGTCTCGGGGATGGAGAAGTCAAGGCTACGTTCTTCAACTGGTTACGGCGTAGGATTCGTCATCGTGGGACTTTCCCTTTTGAGACAGTTGCCATCCTGTATTGTGCTGGAAGAGACTATACCCAACCAAAACGCAGCCGCTCCCACCCCAAATGAAGTACGCAGCCACGCCCTCCCCGTGTCAGGGACATTGTGTGTGCTTAAGCCCTTTTCACAACTCTATAATCCTACTCTCGCCGTCCCCGAGTTCAAGGTATTCCTGCAAGCAACGGCTCATGTAGACCGTAGTTCCTTTTCCAGGGCTCCTTGGGGCTTTCAGAAGCAGTTAGCTTATGGAAAAAGTATTAATTAGACCAGCTATTGCTACTAACCGTTTGAAAAGGTGGGAGCATATAGCCCACATCCCACATTTCGTTATAGGCCCAAATAGCTGTGCTAATGTTGAAAGCTACAATTAGCCTCTTCCCCTTTAGTGATTAATATTCAGACAAGCGGACACGGTGCATCTGGCAGTTTCAAAATGACTGGCTCATCAGCGAAGAAAACCGGTACCACAAAGAAATTCACTGCTGCCAAGCCTGTAGTGCCAAAAGCTAAACAGGTAATCAAGAAGAAGGCTGCTCCTGCCAAGACTGTAAACCCGAAGGTAGCAAGAAAGATCGTGAAGAAACCGACGGTGAGGTTCATCACTCACTTCATCACTTTTTTGAACAAAGTGTAATAAATATTCTTTAGATTAAGAAAACGATCAAAAAGAAAACTGTCAAGAAACTGGCCCCTGGAGGAAAGCTACGTATGCAGAAGAAACGTGTTGTGGGCAAAAGCAAAGCGCCTAAGGCAAAGAAGGCCTAAACGGTTCATTTTTCGTTACTGTACACAACCTGTAACCCATAAATTGTGAATAGATACAGTATTAATCGCTAGTCCTTAGATTCGTGTTGTTTTGTGTTGTTTGTAAAATCCTGTTCGATTCCAGTCCAATTCCAGTCTGTCTTGGCTTCTGGTTAGTATTCTTTGAACAAAAAATCTGGTCGAGAAATGTTTGAATATTCAAGAAAACCGTAATGCTGGGAAGGCTGGCGGCCACTGGAAAGCCATTTTTTTCTGGTTGTCTGTGGCTGAAGTGGGGCAACTTTCGGCCATTGTTGAACATAATGCTTTCTACAGTCCTTCAAAAGGAAGGCGAACAATATCAGATGCGCGTGGTCGCGATGAAGTCGGTGTTCAGCAAACCCCTCCTAAACAGTCCAGTAAATCTCCAATGGATACCAATTGGAAGATTTATTCACTGGGGAATCAAGTAGTTGAAGACAAGGTCCACGATCAGGTATAAAAGTTGAAGGTATGGCGTCGGAGGGTAGTGCGGTCCGCGGCGAACAACCTTGTACTGGTTTACGGCGAAAAAATTGCAAGGGAGGGGTGGTATAGAAGAATATAGGTTCAGTGACGCCTCCTTTTTTCCAGTGACTCCGCCTCCAGACTCCGCCTTCAAGGCCCGCCTTTCAGTGAAAAACGAAGCTGCAGGACGAAAAAGCATGAAAATCGTCACTTGTACGGTCGTAGAGCTTCATTGGGGATCAGCTGTGCGGATAGGGGCGTGGCGTTGGAGATGAAGTTGGGCATGCATAAACTGGGATCGAAATGGGGTTCTACGTATCAGTTGGCATGTTTCTTTTCTGCTTTTTCCCCTCACTGTCGCGTTACTCAACACCTCGTCGTCTATATGCCGACTCCCTCATGCACTATCTTTAATGGCGAATGATCGCGGGCTTTGCCTGAGTCTTTGCTCTTTGCATAAGTGACATTAAGTTGCATGTCATTGCAGCTGTTAATTGTCCTACTGCTACTGTGGCGCTACCGACCGTAATTGCCACCCCCACAACGCGGCGGAAAACTCATCCATATCACTCATCATCTTGATTGTCGTGCTTGATCGACCCAAGTAAAGGACCGCAGTAAGGGGCTGGGCGAAATAACTCAGAAATTAGCAACAGAGGTGCTTAGTCAAGTCATCAGGACGTATTTTGGCGCTCATGCTGGCGTCTTGCCAATGCAGGTCGACCAGCTACGTGAAGCAGGATGATGAGCGATCTAGAGAGTTGTCCGGTGCAAAAGAATTGCTGTAGAGGCTAGGAGGAGGTGGCAATTGCGGTCAGAAGCGCCCCAGTAGCGGTGTGATAGTTGACAGCTGTGCTATTCGACCGTTTTCCAGTGACGTATGACTGGATTTGAAGGAGTGGAAGAAAGTGGTATAGGGGCAAAATTTCGCGGATTGGAGGGGTCGAGAGTTAGGGATAAACAGTAAGCGTCTCCATTAGTTACTAGTGGCTTTGCTGGACCTGTACCGTAATGGAAGTGCTGCTTTAGCAAGTTCCCACCCTTGATAAAAGTTTCCCCTCAGGCCTTGTATAATGCAGAAGTTTACACGCTGACGCGCTACATTCCAGACCTGGGCGCAATTCCCATGTTCGCCAAGAGGAGATCTGAAGTATACGCGCTGCTTTTCAAGAGCAAACACCACTTTTATCGCCGCCTGCAGTGAACCCTAACGCGTCGCGACCGCCCGCGTCTCTTCCTGTCGGCCTCCAAATATCCTAAATACCACTATTGTTGCTGTTGTAAAAATTTTGTGTATTTACGAAGTTTGTGGATTTTTTCACATGTATTGCTTTGAATGGTTGCCTTGAAAGCATTGAACAGTTTTGGGATAGGGTTAGCATCAGATCAACGATGGGTG